TCAATGTGTCTTGAAAAGCTAGGAAAACCCAACAGTTTCAAATCCTCTCTCGCTCCACACACCCCACAGCCAACAACTGTACTCGACCTCCTTTTTAACTATTCTGTCATCTTTAGCTCTTAATTCTGGTGGAGCAGCTGTTTAAATATAGCTGGAACTAAGAAATGATAATCTTCACAGCTCAGGGATTATCATCTCTTACCTTCCTGAGCTGTTTGCAAGCAGGTATTTAGTCTGGAAGCACTGTCTGGCCTCCCTGCGTGCTTTTTCTCCTTAGATTTTGGGTTTGCCTTTGAATAAAAACAGTATGTGAATGCTGGGTGACTGTGCCATTCACCAGGCCCTGCGGCAAGCAGGCAGCATGGCCCGGCCGCCACACAGGTGCCTCAGATCACTCACAGCCAGCGCCAATAAAAGAGGACACTGACAGGGAGGAGACTCAAGCCCTTAATTTGCCGCTTAGGATTTTTTTTCAGCTAGGTCTTTGAAACTGCATTTTTTGCTTCTTTACAGCTGGTTTAAGACAACTGACTAATGCTTTAAAGAAGGGCAAGGTACCAGCTACGTATCACCCCTTTATTTTGTTCTCAGATAGGCAGGATGGCTGTGGGAGCCCCTATGACAACCCCAGGCCTCACCCTGCTGTGAAGTCAAGCTGGGCATTTCCCTTCAGTTTAAAAAACACACACAGGTTTATCTACACAGCTCTGCAGTCTTGTACTGCTCCTAAAAATAATCACAGCCTGCAGAGCAGCGTGAGAGGGGCAGGCCTTCACATACCTATGTCAGTCAGGATTTAAAAAAAAAAAAAAAAAAAAAGAGCTTTCCTTATCCCACAGACTAAACAAACAGGAGATGATACCTGTTCACAGCTCCCTATACATCCCTTCCAGCAGCAACAAGAGGTGTTTTGGCTCAGGGACATGAAGCTATCGGCTGTCAGAGTGGGGCTGTAAACTGTGACCCTCTCAAAAGATGAGCCACCCAACAGTAAAGTTAAACCACTGATGCAAAAAGCACCGACTCATGCCTAGATTTCTCTCTCAAAAGAAGTTAAAGGAAGATAGCTTTATGAGTACACGTTTGCTGGCCTTCATGCATTGCAATCCACACAGCTGAATCAAGATTGCATGTTAAGGTTGGTGCTCTATATATAGCCTATATAGATTGCCTACATTTTCCACACTTTGCCTTACCAAGTCCTTCTTTGTAGCATCAATGCAGAATCTAAATCCTACTCCGATGCCAAGAATGACGCTCTCCTCTCAAGAAAAAGTTTCAGCTAGACACTAATTAACACCCTGCTACCTGTAAACAAATGATACAAGATGTAGGTAACCCCCCCTCAAGAAGGCAGAGCCACCTTCATGCAGACCTGCTGGGGTCCGGAAGGGCTTGCTAGCCGCCCCCACCCCACCAGACTGCCTTCAGCTCCTCGCCGCTCTGTGACCACTGCGTCCCAGGTAATAAACTCCTGCAGGACCGAAGTGCTGTGTAAGGTGGTACAGAAGCACCTCTCTAAGGCTGGGAACTGCGGACTGGCTGTGGGTACTCCTTTCCACACATTAAGAATAGGATAAAACCTAACCAGGAGAGGATAAAACATTAAAATTTGAAGAGAGAAAGGTTTCACCTATCACCTGGCTGAAAACCAGTATTTATATTTTTTTCAAATGTAAATGCACATTCAGTGCAACAGAACTTAAAAGTGATGTCAAGAACTTGAAGGAGTCTCACCGTCCTCCAGTACTTTTTCTAGCTGAAACAGCCATAAGCTAATACAGAGCCACGCAGGTAGAAAACAGAGACCAGATCCTGAAGGCTGGTTAACTTTAAACGATTGCATGTGCATAAACAGCTGAGGCAATGCCATACCAACTTTTGTAAGCTAAGACAACAGTGATAAGGTTACAAGACATTGTGGTTTGTTCATTTTTAACAGTGCTGCACCAATTTAAATGCAATTCCGTACCTCCTTAAAGTAGCAGCAGTTTAAGATACTTATCTAGTGCCTTGAAGAACAGCGTGTCATTTGTAGCCCATTTTAGCAAAGATTCTTTTAAAATTTAACTTGTGTAATTCCAGCATTGTAACAAAATTGTACCTGCTTATTCAGCTCCTCTAAAGATTTTCTTACACATCCAGTATTTAATCCAGAACTGCCAATTCATCGTATGGAAGAGAGTGATCCCAGGCTGACAGAACTCTGCCAGCAGAAACTCAATCAGCTAAGATACCAAATGCTTTACTGCAATCACCGCTTCGTTCCTAGTTGAAGACTTTGTCATAGTAATACAAAACACAGTTTCGGAGGTACAGCTACATTTGTGTATTTTACTCAGAACAGTTATTGCAATATTCCAGCAAAACAGTTCTAGTACAAATAAAGGTATAGCTTGAACGTAAAACTCATCCCCCACTGAGTTTTCTACTTCCAAGTCAGTATTAAGTATCACAAGGTAACAACCATGACATTTTATAAACACTACTCTCCATCTTCTCTCACTTCTTCCAGAGTGCTAGAGTACAGATCAGTCATGTCTTTTTATTTAAAATCATTCACTGAAGCTTTTATACATGGAAGAGTTTAGGAAAACTGTCATCAGATAAACACTAGCGTTTAATATGCAGAACAAAATATGGTTGACTTTTTCAAGCAGGATGCCTTTTCAACTATTCCCAACAGAAGCCTCATGAATACTTGAAATGAAGCAATTATTACTTGGTATTGTAGTTTCTTTACTGGGTACTAAGAGCCAGCCTGTCATCTCACCTTCCTCACCCTAGTAACACTGTGCACCTGACAGGAAGGAAAATGTTAGCCAGATTATACCAATTACACCCCAAATTCATAGGGCTCAGCATCGCTAATACAGCTTTTTCTCAAGACTGACTGTTAGTAACCTACATTTTGATGTGCCATCAGTTACATAAACAGAAATGAAAATATCAAGGTTTTGAGAGATAGGCTTGGATATTCTTGTTCAAACTTAGCAATTTTGATTTGCAGGCTAAATGTCTTGTCTACGTTCGGGTCCTGGAACTATATCTCTTCCATATCTCTTGCCACATTCTACTCACTGCCATAAAATCCGAAGAGGAAATTCACCCAAGGCTTAAGTACACGTGAGTCCCTCGGACAGCTTCAGATACACAAGCCTGAAGATACTAAATTAAGTATCACCTTTGAGTACATGTGATAAATGCCCAACATCACCTGCTAAACATTGCACATAACACAAAATAGGTTCAGCTATATAAAACATTTTTCAAATTATGCAAGATCCATCACTTCTTTCAGAAAGGAGTCACTGCAGTTAGTATTTCTTCTGTGAATATACAGACATGCCATTGATTTAAAGTTTTTAATGAGATACCTGCAATTTGTAACACCGTGACATTTATGAGCCTCACCACATTTATAAGACTTTGGTTTTCAACAGAAATAGCTCTACTGTTACTAGAATCAATACGTGCACAGAGGTTGATGAGAACGTACTGCTGCAGTACAAGAAGTCAGACACCTTCTCGCTGCAGGCTTGTTTTGAATTGTTTATTAAGGTTTAAGAAGTCATCCACATTTCTATAAATATAGACATTACTTGAGTAAGTGACTTACAATGTCACCAGTGCAGGTACATATATAACCAACATACAAAAGCTCCACTGGAAGCTACTTCAGTTTATTCAAAAAGGACCAAGATGTCATAAAAAAAACAGCTGTCACTTTCAGTTATTGAAGACACTAAAGTGCATTTTTGGTTACCTCCTGGATGAACAGCTGCTGGTTAAAAAGTTTGATTTTTTTTTTAAACATATCTAAGTTACATTGACTGACATCCAGGTTTGTAGCTGTCATCCTCCGATACATGGCAGCAGGTAAGAAAAATGTATTACTTTGCTGGTTCAGTAAAAGGAGGAAATAGATGTTGCTTTTTTTTTTTTTAAAAATTTTCTTTTTATCCGGTATTTCCAACAAAAGTTTAAAGAGAATCTAACATTCTGATGAATTTTTACAGCACCACTAAAGTTAGTCTTAAAAATCCAGGCTCTGTTTTAGCCCTTTTAATTACTAGCAAAATTTCTAAACAGTCACTTGAAGCTCTGTACCAGTAAGAAAAACTACCCTCCCTTTTCCGTCAAGGACTATCCTGCCCAGTTAACACTGTTTGCACACTCTGTAAACAAGAACAGCTTAAAGCATAATTAAAGCAGAACACAGGCCCATCTTGAAAATCTTCTTCCCCCGCTCCCCCCCCTTCCCCACCCCCAGTAGTGTCAAATGTTTTGAGTGTATAAAGCATTATTACATTCCTAACCACAAAATACTTTAAGAGTCACGATAAAAAAAGCATACGTTGAAAGTGACATAGCAATACCACTTTAATAAAATGGGGCATTTTGGGGAGATACAAGATGTGCTCTGCTAATTTTAACTCCATCTTTACTTCATTATAATTTTGTTTTATTGCCAGAAAACTCACCAGTAGAGCGAAGAATGCTGCACTGGTTAGAACCACAACAGCCAGAGTTGTTCTTTATAGCTCCTTTACTGCAATTAAATTATTTCAACTTGATAATAGGAGGACATAATACTCATCATTCAGAAATAAATTACTAATTTTGAGTAATAGTTTAAACCTGATTAGCACTGTATAATGATGAACGGCTCCTTCTAAAAAATAAAAACCCTACATACCAAAAACATGCTATATGTTGGGAAACCACTTTTCCATGCTCCAGCGTGTTGTTTACATTTTTACTTGTCAAAAAGTCTTTCTTTTATCAGTTGAAGAATCCACAGCACTTAAATTTCAAGTATTTGAACTGAACATGATTCAATTTCAAAAAGTGCCAAATTAAAAAAAATTACACATGTAGCCAAGCTTTCATAGAAATCCCCAAACAAGATAAAAAACAGCCTCTCGAAATAATGGGTTACTAGCTTCATACATGTTTTTAAAGCTGTATAATGTTCACCTAAACACTCCACTTACGAGCATTAGAAGTTTAAAAACACAGAACACCTTCAATGCAAATTGCTTGCAGAGGGCACCCTCAAATATATGAATACAACACTAAGCAGAAACCCCTCATTTTATTTGGCTATTTAGACATCCATGTCACATATACCCACGCATCCATTTCCTGATAGTATTACATCATCTATTAGGGCTTCTGAAATAGTGCAGAGCCATAAAACTCAGAAGAGACTAGTAAAAAAAAAAGTTCCATAACTGCACAGCCTTCCACACGGCAAGGTTGTGCAACTGATTGTTTAATGTAACTAAGCTTAACGGCATCCAAACAAGCAGGCCTGGGTTTGGAAGCCGTCTTATGTCAAATTTTGACCATGTAACTACTCTAAAATAGAAAGGTCAAAATAGAACTCATCTCTTCTTTTTCTGCTGCCTCAACATTTTCCTTCGCTTAATTATCATATCATGTAGTTTCTCCAGTCCCTCTTTGAGTCCATCTCCAATGATTGCACAGGTAGGCTGCAAATGCCAGGGAGTCGAAGAACTCAGCTCGCTCATTGCTAACATTTTTTCAATTTCAGAAAGGGAGAGAGAGTTCCTCAAGTCCTGCTTGTTAGCAATGATAAGGACAGGCACTCCTTGATTTTCAGATATCCTAGTAATTTTATGAAGTTCCGTTTTGGCCTCCTCCATTCTCTCAACATCGACAGAGTCCACCACAAACACAATGCCATCGGTGCACCTTGTATACGACTTCCACAGCGGCCTTAGCTTCTCCTGGCCGCCCACATCCCAGAAGTGGAAAGTGACCGTTTTCGAGTTGCCCAGTGTCACTTTGATTTTCTCCGTATTAAATCCTTTAGTGGGGACAGTGTTGACGAACTCATTGAACTGCAGTCTGTAGAGCACGGTCGTCTTCCCAGCGGAGTCCAGTCCCAAGATGACGATGTGGAAACTCTGGAAAGAAGGCAGGCTGGAGAGGATCGGCGTCTGGTCCGAGAGTCCATTCCCCATTGCCAGAAGGGAAGGTGACAGCAGGCTGCCACGAGCAGAGGCCGGGTCCCACGGCTA